CTTAATTCCAGTGTGGTGACAAGCTTAGTCTAAGTTTAAAATTGGTTGGTTGAGTTAGACAAAGTTCTCAATGAAGTCAATTAGATTTTAGGTGGTTTTAATTTCGTTTATTTAATTAACCAAAAAAAATTACATCTTCATTAATAGCAAAATTAATTGTTAAACAAAACTATTAAATATAAACTAAGCCAACGTGCATTGCACGTTGCTTAGACCTAGTGTATGTGTGTGTATTTTTTTACTAACTTCATTATCACACTTCAAAATTCATGAAACTGTAAAATGACGATTTTACCCTCCAGGCCTAAATTATCTCAACATTTTCAAAAACCTTCCACAAGGTTAAAATACCTACAATCATTCATATAATGATCATAAAAATTCTATTTTTTTTCTAAAAGTATTCATTTTCCTTATTTGCACTTGAGTCCTCAAACTTTGAAGATGTTGCACTTAGTCCTTAACTTTCCTTGGGACTAAGCATGTGTACTCAAAGTTCTGTTGCAAATGAAATCATAATTATACAACACCCTCCTGCATCATGATGTGAAATGCCTTTTGATATTGATTATGAGTTGTGATATTGCATTTGAAAAGTATTAGATCACGCTATAAAGGATCATCATTTATTACCAATGAAAGTACCTAGGAAGTTAAATCTTTAAAACTCGATAACTCTTTGATGGATTAGATATATCCTTGGCATCTAAACAAATTTTGTTTTCTCCTAGAACTCCTTTTTAGTTTCCATAATGACTTTGTACGTTTTCAATGTTAAAATACGATTGTTGTGAATGCAATATGGTGAATTCGCAGCGTTAAGCTCATCCATTCCTAATTTTACTAACAGTTCCTTTATCACTTCCCATAGTTAAGTTGCTTTATATGATAAGGAAAATTTGAAATTGTGCATCGGATCTTTAATCAATGATTAATGACAAATCAGTCTCTAAACAAAATCAGCAAATACAATTCCATGTCATCCCCAAAAATAGTTTGGATCCAGTCACATTTCAGCTCGACAAGCTCCACTACGATTAAGAAACATTATCATTGCTGATTTGACTAGGTGACATCATCACCTCTCCCTTGGCTTATCACATAAAGATACTTGGTAGAGCTGATGTAGGGACCTCATGGCCAACCAATCGGAGATCAGCAATGATGTGAATAATTGCATTTATCTCAAACATCATGATGAGTTGTAAGCAGCCAACCTCTTCATCCACTAAGAACCATCGAAGCCGAATTATATGGCACGCTTAATAAGGAAAATATTGTAGGTGACGCGACTATGGCGGCCAAGTTGTCAAATTTAGGTTATAAATTGGCGACATTGGTCCCCTTCTTGGACCATGAAATCTTAACCTTTCAACTTTTGTACTTTTACACTTCCCAAACAAAGTTGATAATACAAAGTTTTCTATTCCAATTAATCACCTCGCTCAGAATTATCATTAAGTTGATCAAAATTAATCTCGTCAATTTTGAATGTAAACATTTTGGCGCTAAAAGGAAGGCCTTGTGAAAAATAGCCACATATCCCACAAAGTTTTTGGACCTCTTTTACCATACATCCTATCCAAAAATTACCAATGAGTATCAGTTCAGCATCACGAAATCAGTCTTGTACTAGCCCTCATGAAACTAACATGGGATTTCCAAAGGAAAAATGAATCTACCGGGGATGACTACACTTGGCTCCCTACCATGAAGGAAGCCATAAAGCGTTTAACGAATGCTGTCTAAAAGATGGACAGAAAGCAGGCAATCACCTCTCCCTTAACTGCAATCGAGGTGTAATCTTTAGCTAAGGAAAGGTAAGCAACCTCTACCAGAATGAGTTTACTCTTCTCGGGAGAGAGTCATCCAAAAGCAGGATTGATGAGGTAAAGAGTCCACTTCCACCTACTGAAGGAACTGCCAAAAAGGGAGGAACTGCATCTGATAGATTGAGGACACAAAGTACATTAACACCTAAAGGTTAACGAACCAATGTTGTCCAAAAAGATCCTATAATAATAATGAGCTTGAGATGAGCCTATTAAAAAGCGTATAGTTGATTCGGAGACTAAGCATAAAGGTATTGTGGAGGAATATTTCACTGGCCACCATTCCCCTTTCATAGAGGACGTACTTATAGGACCATTGCATGAAAAGTTAAAAATGCCTCAGCTCACTGGTTATAATGAAGAAGAAGATCCCCTTAGTCATTTAGATCAATGCACATTGTGGATGAAGATGCAAGGAGCCAGTGATGCTATCATGTGTATAGCATTTCCCTTTTAACACTTGGGGATAAGGCCCAAAGATGGTTCGGAATACTATACCAAAAGTCTATCAAAACTTGGATGGATTTAGCCTTTGCCCTTTTAACTCAATTTATGGGTTCCAATGCTTGATAGAAGTATTGCACTTGATTTTCTATTGTGATTCCATGATTTGGACACTTTTGCATCAACTCTTTGAATCTGTTCCATGCCTTGTGATAGCTTTGTCTATCTTTCTGCTGGAAAGTTTGAATTTCCAATTTGATTTTAACTATTTCTGTCGCTGGAAAGAATTTGTTGCAGACTTATCTGTCGGTGAAAATATAAAAAGATTGCAAACAACGGATAATTGAATATTCAAATATGTGATGAATAATAGGGCATAACAATTTCAT